CCACCCCGTCCATCCCCACACCTCCCGGGGGTCTGGTCTTTAGTAAGTCTGATGGAGACTCTCTCCCTGGGGCCCAGGCCGACCTTGGAGGGACGCAGAGCTTGACAGAGGAGCAGTGTGTGTCAGCACTCCTGACAGGCTGAGTTCCAGGAGCTGCAGCCTAGGGAAGGGGCAGCAGAGGGGGTGGAGGGGTGGGAGGGAAGGAGGAACATTGGCACCCCCACCCAGGTGGCTGCTTGGAGCCCCTCGTCGGCCCCGGCTTCTCTGCCTACCCGACCTGGAAGCTTGGTGCTGCCTTTCCTTTCTCGCCCTCCGTTCCTCTGTCTCAGCAGCCCCCACGCTCCTGCCATCTTCAGGGCTGGGCTGGGGGCTGCACAGGGTCTCCACGGCCCTCGTGGACCTGTAGGGTCCCTGGGTAGTGTGAGGGAGGGAGGTGTGAACCATGGCTCTGGGGATTCTGCTAGGGGTCCTTCTCCATGTGGGGGCAGCAGGTGGATGCAGACTTGACACCTAGATGGCTCCTCGAACTTGGAGGATGAGGGAGGGCAGCCCCCCACGTGCACCCCTGGGGAAGCCCCGATCAGTCCCCAGGCTGAGCCCCCGGGGAGGCTTCGGGGACCCTTGGTGGAGTTGCTGGGGCAGCTTTCTGGGCCCTGAGGAATCGCCAGGTGTGGAAGAGCCGGGCCGCCGAGCTGGACAGGGGTGTGAAATCAAAGTCCAGCACATACAGCCTGGGGCCCTGTGCATGTCCCCTCACTCCAAGCTCTGGTCACTGCTGGCCAGGAGGGTGTTGAGGAGGCAGCAAGCAAGCGCCTGGCTCTTCCTACCTGGGGGCAGTGGTGTGGGGACCAGGGAAAGGTCCCCCTCAACATGCAGGTCCGTAGATGCCTCCTGCTGCCTCCCATGCACCTCACCCCAGTCTCATTGGCGGGCAAAAGTCAGGGGCCCATTTCACAGACAAGGACTCTAAGGCCTGAGATGGGGCACACCATGCCACAGTCCCACACACCGCCTCACCCTGCTGGCCTCCCCTCTACCCGGCCTTCTCTTGGAGGCCGAGTCCCTTGGGCCTCACAGTGGTACTCTGGCCCTGGGTGGGCACCCAGTGGGGGGCTGGGCCATTAATGACCCCCCCAGCCCATCTGTCTACTGGGGTCTCGTCCACTTAGCAGCCCAGGTCTGAGTGGGCAGCCTGAGGCAGGTGCCGGGAGGGTACAGAAGGCCTGAGTTTTAGAGGAGAAACGGCCTTGGAGGGGTGCTGGCTTGTCCCCGGGACCCCTGGGGAATGGGACGAGGTGACAGCAGGGGGGAGGGGGAGTGGAATATGGAGGTCGAGACCCCTGGGTTCCTGGTGGGAGGCAAGGGAGCCTTTCAGGGTCATTCTCCTTTGTGCCATCCCTGTCCACTTCCTCAGCCAGCACCCAGGGGCCCCTGCGGCGGGTCCCTCCTTGCCTGGTGCAGCCTTGTGCAGCTGCACAGACTCAGGAGGCTGCCAGGGGCCCGACTGGCCACCTGCCTGTGGCCGGCTGAGTGCCCAGAAGACCACTTGGCTGGCTGGGCCGCAGAGCCAACCTTTCCCCTGTCTCTGCCCAGCCCCCCCCCAGCCACCTCGCCCAGGCCAGGGCATGAACAATTAAAGCCCCTTGTCCCCAGTTGGTTTGTGATATTAAAAATGAATTGCGATCCACTGGGTTGTCATTTGTCCCTGATAAAACATCACTTTTATTGATCTCGCTCCCCCAGTGCCATCATCCATCTTGCTTCAGCATTTCATATCATGGCTCGTTTGTCTTGATCAGAGCACAGTCCTGCATGTTTAACCCTTGGGGCTCCACAGCCTCATGTGCCTACCCCCTGCCCCTTGCCCAGGCCTTGTTCTGGGGGGCGGGAGGTTCTGGAAGGCAAGGGCCACCCTGTCTGAGTTAAGGCGGGAAGAGGGAGAGGGGCAGGGAGGCAACTGGAGGGGGGTGGTGAGGGAGGTGCTGGGGCTGGGGGAATGAGCAGGGCCCAGGTGGGTCAGGTCGTGGTGGGTTGTAGTGGGGCCAGGGTGCCCCAGGGAAGACAGGCTGGTGGGGGCTGGGCCATGTGTCCTAACCCAGGGCCCACTGCTGCCTCCTGCAGAGCTCCTCAGGGTGAGGTTGGACCCTTGGGGGCTCACCTGATCCTGCTGTGGCCCCCCCACTTGCTGTGTCTCAGTGGTCACCTGCCTCCTGGCTCACCCTACCTGCCCCCATTCGTGGGCCCAGTGGTGGCTCCCCCTGGCCCTCCACCCCAGCCCTATGGTCCTGCTCTCCACCCCTTAGAGCCTTTCTCTGGCTGCCAGCACCTCCCCCAGGTGCTGGCCTGGCCCCTCCAACTCTGAGCCCTGGGCCGCAGAGGGAGTGCCCTCAATTTGATGGTGGACTTGCAGCTCCTTAAGCCTGTGGGGGGTGGGTATCTGGGTCACAGCCCCACTACCTGCACTGACCTTGCGCCTGCATATCTGCCCCCCTCACTGGGGGTCCCTCACTGGGTTCCCCAATCCTAGCTGTGGCTTCCCTCCCCAGGGGTCCCAGAGGTGGAGGGAGAACAGGACGCCCTCCCTGGCTAAGTGGCAGGCTTCGCGGAAAGCCCTCAGGGTCCACAGTCACTGGGCGAGGCTCTCTCTAGCTAGGGGGTGCATTGAGGTGGCTTCCCAGTCCCCTAGATGTACCCCCCTTCCTGACACCCCCCAAACTTGGGTTGTCAACTCTCCGTTTAACAGTCAGGAGCATTGTTTATTTATTACCCCTACACAGCTGTCAGTCAAGAAAATGTTTGTTGAATGAATAAATTCATGCCCTCCTTGAGGAGGGTGTCTGCTGTCTGGTCTGCCCACACCACTCCCCCCACTGGCTACAGAACTTTGGGGACCACCCTTCCCCCTTATGCCTGTGCCTTGTGGGGGCTGACCCTCCCCTTCTCCCCTCCAGGGCCGCCTGCCCTGGCCACATGGGCTGGTTCAGGCTGGACATCTGACCCACGTCTGGTGAGATCTGTAAAGAAAGAGACCCTCGTCCTGGGAGGGTCTCAAAGGCCAAGACCACCCCAAACCCATTCTGGACCAACGTTCCTCTCACGGGCCTGAGACCCAGTCCCTCGAGGGGCTCCGCTCTGGCTAATGAGGGGGCAGCCCTGGCCTGGACGCCCCAGGCTTGAGGCTTGGGCATGTCTGCTGAGACCTCCGAGTCTCTGAGGCCTCCAGGGAGTCACCGTGTGACACACACGGACACTGAGGCAGAGTTAGGATTCCAGACCACCAAAAACTGTACAATAGTTCATATATTTATTCTTAAGCAAGTTATCAATAAAAAATTTAATACTAAAATGCCTTTACATAGAGTTTGCTGTTCATAAAACCTTTGTGTTTTTTTTGTTTGATTTTAGTGTTTACATTGAAAAAAAAAACCCCAGCATCCTCTTAGTTTTACACATTTACAATAGCGGAGCTTCTGCCAGGTTTAACTACGGCTCAGGGGAGGGGCTGCAACGTCCACACGCACAGATGCAGGAGGGACGAGAAGAGGGCAGGACAGAGGAAACCTGCAGGAGGGGCAGGAACCCGCAAGAAGGGCACCTCCCTTTGCCTGGGTTCCATTTCCGCAGCTGGGCTGTCCCCACGTGGAGTGGTGCACGACTTCTCCATTCAGCATTTTCCTGCTTCCCCGGCCGCGGGCAGCCCCTCAGCCACTGGACACCACCAGAATGATGCCACCAGGAATGAAATATTGCACTCGGTCGAGACAAAGGGGAGGGTTGGGTAGCAAGGGCAAGCTGGGGTTCGGGGGGGGCCCCTCCTTGTCCCTGCACTTCCCATGGAGCCGCCAGGAGCGGGAGGAATACCCTCCAGGTAGGGCCAGGATGGTTTCCTGGTCTGAAAGAAAGAGAGGCCGAGAGGGCCCAGGCTGGGGTGCCAGCACCCACCGCCATGCCTTGTTTCCCGGGGAACTGGGCTGTAGGGCTGTAGGTCACACAAAAACTTGTCCTAAAGAGCAGTGGCTAGCTTGGGGGGCTTTCCTGGGGCTCCCAGTGGGGCCAGGGGAGCCCTGGTGTGGTGCGACATGGGAGCACATGGCCCTTGGTGGGTTTTGGGGACAAGGGCTGTGGGGCCACAGGTCTAGCTTGCCCTGTCTGTCCTTCTTGGCCGTGGGAAAAGTGAAGGGTGACATGTTCTCTGGGGTTCCTGGGGTGGTGCTGAGGGTCTGGGACACCCACCCAGCACCACAGTGCCCAGATCACTGGGCAGAGGGGAGCTCCCTCCACTCAGGGCCAGGGTGTGGGCTCGGGCGGGCAGGAGGGACCCTTGCTCCACACTCCAAGCACTAGCCTGCCAAGCCATCTGCCCTGCCAAGGGGCCAGAGACAAGGCCCAGAAACCTCCACGTGTGTTGGCAGGGGCCAGTCCCTTCCCTGCTCTGAGTAGAGGCTGGACAAACTGGCAATCGAAACGGAAATCAGCAATAACTTGGACTATTCAGGAAATAAAATCAAAACATCACTTTTTCATATCAATACTTTAAAATATTTGTTCATTTTTGTTTTTTTTAAACAGAGGTAAGATACGTATGGCTGCTGTCACACTCACGGGCTGGGGGGACCAGCTGATCCTGGCTTTCATTTTAGCTTGTGGAATCCCTTCTCTCCCCAAGGGACCCTCATCAATGAATCTCCCCCCAATACTTTTGTTCCTAGGAGATGAGTTAAAAAGAAATAAACTCGTGTGACTTCCATCTTACACAGTCCCCCCAAGAGATCAGCAGGTGTAACCGAGGGTCCCATTCGACCCCACCTGTGGCCTCCAGCCCCTGCCCCCTCCCAGCTGCCTCTGTCATCACAGATGCCCCAGTGGGAACTCAGCTAGGCTGAGAAAAACAGTGCATTTTCAAAGAAAACCCCCCAGAACAAAATCTCTACATACACACACATACACACACACGCACACACATCCTCGTCACACGTGTGGGGAAAAAATTCCTTTTCCACAAAACTTCCCCGCAGAAATACAGTATTTACATAGAGAAATAAATAGACAACACACCTGATTTCTGCTTTCCCTGGTGGGAGACAGTCGGAGGTACTAGGGAAAATATGGCTTGGATTCTAATCTCTCATGAACTGCCGGTGTGGGAAAAGAGAGAGTGGCTGGCTGGTGGGACACAGCCGACTCTCTGCAGCAGACAGGATGGGACTGGGTTCCGAGGCCCAGGAGCTCTCTTTCCAGGGAAAATAATAAAAAAGCCTGGATCTTGCCTGGTGGGTTTGCATATTTGCTCAGACTCGCCCCTCAGGCGTGCGGGGCTCGTGGCCGCCAGTCCAGCGTCCTCGTGGCTCCGCGCCCTGGGCATCACTGGGCGCGCAGGGCCTCTGCGGGCCAGTCAGGTGCAGGCTCAGCACAGGATGGGCACGCCGTCAGCTGTCACCAGGCGTCCCGTGGTGGGGTCGTAGGTGCCTGCCAGGTAGTAGAGGTCCCGCCGGTCCTGGTACTTGCGGCTCCGCGTCATCCGCTCGTACTGCTCACGCCCCACGACCTGGCACTTGTGGGAGATGGTCTGCACGTCATTCTCGTCCTCGTGGCAGGACTGGTACAGTGCGTTCTGTGGGGGTGAGGAGGGTGAGGAGCACTCGGCATCAGCAGCCAGCTTGGCCAGCGCACCCCACCCAATCCCTGGGTTCTGGAAGGAGACTTTTTTTTTTTTTTAAAGATTTTATTTATTCAGTTTTTCCCCCCAAAGCCCCAGTAGATAGTTGTATGTCATAGGTTCACATCCTTCTAGTTGCTGTACGTGGGACTCGGCCTCACGTTGGACGGAGAAGTGGTGCCTCGGGGCGCGCCCGGGATCCGAACCCGGGCCGCCAGCATCAGAGCGCGCGCACTTAACCGCTAAGCCACGGAGCCGGCCCTGGAAGGAGACTTTTAACTGTGTGGCCGGGCAGAGTTGGAGAAATGCTTGTTTCTGCACCATCTACAAACCTGGGTTCTTCTCAGGGCAGACCGGAGAGTGCACGGGGGCGTTTTCTGTCTCAGGCTGGCATTGTGAGGCAGGGAGCCTCACAGGGCCCGTGGGGCAGAGAGGGGCTGCCTCGGATGAGACCTGCTCGGTGTTACCTGCTGCCATGGGGCACAGCCCCCAACAAGGTGAAATCATCACCCATTTCACGGGGAGCCTCAGAGGTGCGGCTGGGGAGGGACCCATGCGGCTTGGCTCTAGGGCACCAGCCCTCAGCTGTGTTGTTCCCTGAGGGGCCTGGGGCCGCCCTGGGCTGAGAGGCTTTGGGGTGTGGGGGATGGGGAGGGGGTGTTCAGAGATGACCACTCCCCTTGTTTCGGCTGCTGCCCACACCACCCCAGAACCCCCCGCCTGCCCACAGCTCCCAGGCCCTTACCTTCCCGTCGCTCTGCCGCTTCCCCAGCTTGGTCTCCTCTGGGTGGTAGAACCACTTGACCTTCACCACCATGTTGCTGCCCCACGACTCCCACATGCTCTCGATGCGGCCGATGTAGGGCAGGTTGGGCCGCCCAGCCGACAGGAAGACGGCACAGTCTCCGATGCGCAGCGTCTCCTTGCCCCGGACGATGGCCTTGTAGAACAGCTTTCTGGCCTTCCCCTTCATGCCGCGCCTCTGCAGGGAAGACAACCAGAAGCAAAGGGGTGACGAGGGGGCCCGGGGGATAGGCGGTGGCTGGGAGGCGCAGGAGAGAGAATGATAGAGACAGAGAGAGGAAGAGAGAGAGTGCAGGATGGACAGATGGCATGTCGTGTGTGTGAGCGTGTGTGCACAGGCACCTGTGAGGGCAAGACAGGGCAGGACAACTGCTGGAGGAACACTACCAAGTCACAGGTCCAGGACAAGGTCGGCCATGCCTGGGTCTACCCTGCCCACCAGGTCACGACATCAAGACCCTAATTGACTCTAAAGGAACGTGGGCTCTGAAGGCAGAGAGGGCAACACCCATGAGCTGTTCCCTGCAGCAGTGTTTACAAGGGCAAAAGCCCTGAACAACTACGGGTCCACCCACAGAGTGTTGGCAAAGAAAACATGTGTGTCCATGCAGTGGTATTTCGAGGCCCTCCCAAAGCTGGCCGTGTTGTTCATCAACGTGGAAAGATGCTCAGTGCAACACTGACAAGTGGAGCCGCAACAGGCAAAACAAAATACAGGACAGGTGCCTGGTGCAAAAGCCACTCATATGATCACACAGGCAAAAGCGAGGACTTGGAGGTGAAATTGAGACAGTGGGTATTTGCCTCCTTGGATCATGGGTGGGTATTTGTTCTTCCCTTGAGTTTCCTAATTTTCTTAGTTGAAACTGAATAGAATAATCCAAAAAAGGAGAGAGAGAGAGGGAGCCGGGGAGCAGGAACACGTGCCAGCTTCCCTGGGCACCAGGGCTCCTCATTGGGCCCCCTGCCCAGGGGGAGATGGCCCACTTACCTGTGTGGGGTTCCCTGACCACTTCCAGAGCTGCCGGGCGGGCAGGAAGGCGGAGATCTTTGGACGGTTCTCCACGGAAGGCAGCCGCTGCCTCCGGGACAGCTCTTTGGCTTTGGAGAAGCTCATGGCCTCCTTACGCTTCAGCTTGGATTTGCTGCCGCTGGGGCCCGTGCCCCCGCCGGCCACTGCAGCCCTGGACAGGAAGCAGCGCTGGGCGTGCGTGTGCGGGCCGCCTCCCTTGGAGCGCAGGGCTTCGGGCTGGGCCAGGAGGGTGGGCACCGGGTGGGTGAGGCATGTCTGCAGTAGCAGGGCCGGGTCCTCGTCATCTGAGCTGTAGGAGGAGCCCTCATCGTCCGAGGAGCAGAGGCTGGAGGTGGACAGGGAGCCGGAGGAGGAGGAGGTGGACGAGCCCGAGGAGGAGGAGGACACGGACAGGCGGGCGAGGAAGCGGGAGGGCATGCTGGGGGCCAGCCCGGGCCCATCCTCCTCCTCGTCTGAGTAGGAGCTGTGGCAGTCACTGTCGCAGGGCAGCGGGTACTCAGCCTGGCCTGTGAATTTTCGTAGCGCCAGCCCCATGGGCAGTGGGTGGACGGGTGCCCGGCCCTTCCTGTCCTTGCCCACGAGGGCCGGGTGTGTGTAGCTGGGGTTGGGCAGGGGCCGCCCCAGCTTGGGCCCGAGGTCCTTGTCGCCCATGAGCAGCGACTTGCAGTTCTTGTTCTTGGGGGAGGTCACGCCCTCGTGGTCCAGCTTGACCAGGAACTCGCCGCCTGCCCGCTGCCGCCCGCCCTTCTCAGCCTCGGCCCGCTCGGCCTTCTTGGCCCGCAGCAGCTTGTGGGTGCCCCCGGACAGGCCCGGGCCAGCCCCGCCGACGAAGGGCGCGTAGGAGCTGGCCAGGCTGCTGAAGGAGTCGGCGCGGAAGCCGTTGCCGAACACAGGCGCAGCCACGCTGTGCACGGGCAACAGCGCCTCGCGGGCCCGCAGCTTCTTGGCGCTGCCGTTGAGCTGGAAGAGGTTCTGCAGCACGCCCGGCCCCTTGCCACCCGCTGTCGCCGCGGCCACCGCCTTCCGCTTGGTCTGCGCCACTGCCGACCAGCTCAGCAGCGGGCTGCCCCGGCGGCCCAGGAAGTGGTCTGAGGCCCCTGAGGAGGGCTTGGCACCTGAGGGTAGGAGCTCCGCTTTGCCTGGGGGAGGCCAGGTAGTCAGAAGTTCCGCCTGCCCACCCCTCCCGCCCCCCTCCCCCCTCAACCTGGCCAGGGGCAGCCCATGCCCCGGCGCCCTTCCCCGGGGCCTCCAAGGGCAGGCTCGGCGCCAGCCCCGCCCCCCTCCCCCCTGCCCCGGGGGCATCCCCCCTCTGTTCTCAGCAGTCCCCTGAGTACCAGCTTTGTCTTTGCTGATGGATTTCTTCCCAGGGGTCTTTGAGGCTTCCGGGCTGTCATGCACCTTAGAGGACAGGCTAGGGGCAGTGGCCTCACTGGGTGGGGGGGCCTCGCAGGAAGCTTTCTTGGTCCTCCGGCAGCTGCTGGACACCAGCAGGGCTGGCGAGGGCTCTGTGCCTGCAGAGTGGACGAGCCGCCTCAGCACTGTGCTGCCGGGTGACCACCTCCTCTCCACCCTCCTCGGAAGCCTGTCTGGACCCAGGGGAGACCCAGCCTGACTCTGGCCCTCGGGGCTGACTAGGCAGGGAGAGGCCCCCCGGGCGGGTCCCAGGGCTCACACTGGATCTTGAAGTCCGGAGGCAGCAGCCTGATGTTGGAGACGGCGATGTGGCCGGTGTCCCCATCGTCAAACTCCACCACCACTGAGTCCAGGTCCTCCTCCTCATCACTGGAGGCGCCTGGGGACGGGGCCTACCTGAGCACGCAGCCCTCCGCTCAGGGCCCACAGGGCTCTCCCTGGCGGCCAGGATGGGAGGATGACAGGATGGGCTCCCGGGCAGCTGACAAATGACGCTGGGAAGATTCTGCTCCCTGGTCACATTCGACCTTGGAGCTGCCACGGCAGCTGGGGAGCAGACGGCCTCCCCTCTGCCTCCTGCATCGTGGCTGGAGCAGCAATATTACCGCCATCCATCACCCCCACCCCGGGGCACGCACACAGGGATGTGGGGCCCTGACCTCTCCCAAGAAACACGTCCACGTGTGCAAATACACACCCGGCCGAGGCCTGCCTGGAGGCCTCCTGCTCACCCACCTGTCCACCTGCCCATCAGATCCCAGGGGCACCACATCCCCTGCCTGGGGGATCGGGAGGATTCACCCTAGGGGAGCTGGTGCTCATGTACCGGTTCATGACCCCCAGGACCAGGGCCCTGGGTCCCCTTCGCTGCCAGCCCTTCTGAAGAGCCAGAGCCCCCACCCTGTCCCTACCCCACATACCCCCTTGCCTCGCCTGGTGACCGAGGAGCTGATCCCACTGTTAGCTCTGCCTGCCCAGCTCCGCCTGGGAAGCAGGGCTGGTGGGAGGCCCTCCCTGAGAGGCAGGGACCCTTCCCCAGGCACTCTGGGGGCCTTGTCTGCAGCTTTGCTTGAAGGGAGGGGCGAAGCGTTTTCGCTGGGGGGCCTTGGGCGTGGCTTACCTCGGACCACATTGCCTGGGTACAGGCAACGGGACTTCTGGCTCCAGTAGGCGCAGACCCTCGTGCCAGGAGGAAGATACTGGCTAGACTGCGGCCGGACATCGAGAACCTGTGGGAACAGCAGGGGTGGCAAACCCTGAGCGGGCAAGGGTGGGCCGAGGGGTGCCAAGAGGGGCACGGTGCAGCCAGGCCCACCTCCCCAGGGTGGTGGGCCGAGTGGGGGCCGTCCCCTCACCGCCTCCTGCAGCAGCTGCTCCAGCGAGTAGATCCTCTGCCGGTTGCCTCTCTCACCCTCGATGACGATGCTGTAGCTGAGAGCCGTTGGGGGGAGTGTGAAGGGACCTGCGGGTCCACGGCCGCCCAGGTTGCAGCCCGCATACCTTGCCCCGCCCACACCCAGGCCTCACATGTCCGGGGGCTGCAGAGTCCTGACGCTGCCTGCATACAGCAGACTATCCTCCTTGGGGATGAGCACGGGCAGCCCGTCCTGCAGGTCCTCCTTGTGGATGGTGCATGAGCGCGCTGGGGGAACGGGGGTGTCAGCGCCTGGCTTCTGCCTGCCCTCTGTGCCCCCAACACTCAGCGCCCCCTCCCGGCCGCTTACCCAGGGCGGCGCTCTGTTCTGCGCTCAGGCGGCCGCTGGCACCCTCCTCCTCCTCTGAGAAGCTGCTGCTGTCGTCAAACTCAAAGTCGCCCTCCACTGCGAAGCTCTCTAGCAGCCGGCTCACCGCCCGGCCCTTGCCCTGGGGGCCAGAGGGGTCAGCTCCCTCTGGGGGGTGGGGGAGAGACCTGGGCCCTGGCTGGACCCCAGGGGTGGGGGACACTACCTGCTTGCTGCCGGCCTTGCTTTTCACCTTGGCCACCTTCCTGCCCCTCCCCAGGATGGCCTTGGCGTTTCGGGGCGACAGGGCGATGGAGAGGGCCCCATTCTTCCGCTGTTGGGGCAGGTGGGAAGGGACTGAGGTGAGGGTGGCACTAGCCTCCCAGCCGGCGGCCAGCCCAGGGTGTAACTCGTGCTGACTCTGCGTGTGAGCCCAAGGGTGTGACTCAGAACAAGGAGAGGGTGAGGCGAGGGTCCCCAGGCCTTTCACATCTGGTACCCACCCCACTGGGCCCGGGACCCTCAGGTGCCCGCTGATCATTGGGTGACCAATTACCCAGCGATGCCCGCTGACTGGGGGGGTGCCTGCTGAGCCTCACCCGTAGTCCCGGCTGGAGCATCGTGCTCTTGCGTGTGGCTCTCTTGAGGCGCTCGCTGGCCAGTTTGCTGCCCTCCTCGCGGCAGGTGAAGGCCCGGGTGGGGCTGAAGAGGGTGTCCCTGCTGGGGGTGGCCCCCGGCTCTCTGCGCCGGCCGCCTTTGGCCTTGCCCTTGGCCGCCTTCTCGCCTGGCGCGCCTGGGGGCCTGCGCCCCGGGGCCCGCTCCAGCTTGGTGCCCACCTTGGCCTTCACCGTCCGCCTCTTGATCTTGACCTCACTCTCTGGGCTGGACAGGTGGCAGGCCCCTGTGGGAGTGAGGGGGGCCATCACAGGGGTCCCAGCTGCCAGGTTGCTGCCGGCCAGGCTGACCCCAGCCGCCTTTGCCGCCGGCTCACCTAGCAAGCCCTGCCGCTCCTTCTTCTTCTTGGCCTTCTGGTTGGCTTCCATCTTGACCACGGAGGAGGGTGAGGGCCCCAGCATGGCCATGCTGGCCCCAGTATGCAGCACCAGCCCAGGCTCCTTGCGGGGTGTCTCTGTTCCTGAGAGACCCTCGCCGTTCTCACTGTCAGAGCCACTGCCTGGGGGGGAGGTGGAGGGTCCGGATGACCTGGCGTCAGAGCAGCACCATTTTGGGCTGGGTTTGGGGGAACTGATCATTCTCATGTGTGGACGTGTTGTGGCGCTGAGACGAGCCCTGTTACTGTCATCCCTGGGGCTGCTTTGAGGGGCAGGCCCCTGGGCCAGGCGTCCAGCTGAGGGTGTTGGACGGGGATGGGGAGGGGAGGCCCCTCTCTGACCTTCTTTTCCTTGCCTCCATTTTCTCATGCCTGGGGCAGTGGGCCGCCCACCTTGCTGGCCTGGGGATCCCCCTCCCCAGGGCAGCCCCGTCCCCTTTCTATAGTCCTCCTGTCCTATCAGCGCCTCCTGCTTCCTCTTCCCCTCCCTTTGTTCTTTCTCAGGGGAGACCTGGCGGGGCAAGGGCTGGCGGGGAGCCAGTGTCTATTTTTCCAGGCTCCTGTTTCTAGACATGTGTGTTTGCTGAGGGCCAGATAACCCCCCCAGGTCAGCCTAGCCCAACGCTGCAGGAAGGTAGGCTGGAGCAGGCAGAAGGGCTATTTTTAGCCCCCTTTCCAGGATGTACCCAGGGGCCTCTTTCCTCCTCTTGGCCCCGATGTGGGGGTGGGGCAGTGAGACAGCTGGGCTCTGCCCTGGGGCAGGGTCTTCTGCCCCTCCCCGTGAGAGCAGGAGGTTCTCCCAGGGTCCAGCACACCCCAGGAGCCCTGACTTGGCTCCAGTGGCCGTCCTAGCCCCTGCCTGCCTTCTCCCCCAGCCCCTGAGTGACCATGGCCCGGAGGTCCTGGCTGCCAAGCTCAGACCAAGGACTTGCCTGCCTCATGTGCTGTGGCCTCTGCTGGCTGGGCGGGGAACTTGGGTGTCTCCCTGCCGCCGTTGCCAATGATGGGCTGTGGGTGCCGGGCTGCCCCAGACACTGTGGCGCTCTGGGCTCGGGACAGCTTCTTCCGAATTCTCCCGCCTGGGGCAGCCTCCTTCCGCTGGAAGGGGCTGAAGCTGGCGGGCAGCCCTTTGCTCTTGACCTTTGGCTTCAGCTGGGCCACCTTGTGGGCAACTGCAGACGCCAGCTCGCCCTGACTACTGGTCTTCTTGCACCGAACCTTCTCCTGCAAATGGGCAAGCGGCGGCTGCACTCACTGGGTCCCTGGCCCCAAGCCACTCTCAGAAGGTGTCACTTCCCTGGGCCTGGCCCTCCAAAGAAGTGGAGACAACATCTGGCCCAGGGGCACAGGGCTTGCCCACAGGAGCCTATGATTGTGCCTGTCCCGTCCCCCACTCCGCAGCCCCTACGGACTGCCCTCCCTTAGGTCAGGCTTGGGGGAGGGAGGCCAAGGGCCTAGGTGGCTGTGTGTGCTCTGGGCAGAGGCACCAGCCTCCTGCTCGGGAGGGGTGGGCAAAGTGACATCAGGCTCAGACCTGCCTCTCACCTGTCCCTTGCAGGACCCTGGAACGGGGAGGGGCAGGAGCGCACCCTGCACAGAGAAGAAGCGGATGCCGGCATCTGGTGGGGGATCCCACCCCAGGGGAGGGGCAGCTGCCCTTAGCCCGCCCAATCCACCAGGTGTGCACTGACCCCTGGACACGGTGGGCCCTCATTCCCTCTGTAACCTGGGGTACCTCTGCATTCCTTTTCCGTCTGCTGGAGTGAGCTGAGGAGGAATCATGGAGCATAACTAGCCCCCCGTCCCACCCGCAGGGTCAGAGGCCAGCCTCTGCTGTGAGGTCCTGAAGCTTGCCTGGCCTTGGTTTGCTCATCCGAGCAGTGGGAGCCCAGCTGGGTATTGGCGCAGGGCTGGGTGGCAGTGCTTGCTTGGGATCTGTCTGTTTAACATCCCACACCCTGAGCCCGAGGGTGGGCCTCGGGACTCACCACAGAGACAGGCTGCAGGCCCACGTGGACGCCCTTTACCAGTCGGCTTCGCTTCTTTGTGGGCTCATCACCACCGCCCCGCAGCTCGGCACACAGCAGGCTCAGGCTGGACCGCACGGCCCTGGGGGCACGGGGGTGCAGATGGGTGTAGGCCAGATGCAGGCACACCTGGGCACCCTGGGGGAGGTCATGTGGTGCAGCCGCATGTCGGGAGACCCCTCTCTCCCAGTGCTGAGCCCTGCTGGGCATCTGCCTCCCCGCTAGCCCCCTCAGCCCACTGACTGGAGAGAGGCAGCCCAGTGCTCAGGAGCCAGGGCCCTGCGGCCAGCTGGGCCACTGTGTGACTGAAGTTGTGGCCTCAGTCTTTCCACCTGGAAAATCGAGACGGTAACAATTGTGCTTCTCTGCAAGGCTGAGGCCCTCATGAGCCAACTGCTACCGAGTTAGAAAGAAAGAGGGTGCTAGGAGAGGCCCCTGAGAACAGGGCTCACCTCCAACATCACTGCCGCTGCCAGGGGAAGGATGGGGCAGCAGCCAGAGAAACTCGTGCCCAGGGTCTGCCTCCCAGTCCCCAGGGAGTGGGGACTCTGCTGGGCTCAGACCCCTCAGAGCTTCGTCCTCTGCCCTCAATTTGGGGTCTTGAGGGAGGGAACACTGCACCCCCCTGCCCATCTCCCAGATGGGACCTGGGAAGCTGTGATGCCAAGCCTCAGTTTCCCCATGCCCCACATGTGTGAGGCGGGGAGCTTGGCTGTCTGTCCTTTGCTAGACGGGGGCTGGGGGCAGGGCCTCTCACCTGTCCGCTCCTCCGCCAACATGGCGTTGATGAGAATGAGTCACAGGTGGAAGCGGAGCGCCCTGGCCCAGCCCTGCCTCGTGTGGCTGGTTCCCTTCACCTTCCCACCCAGAGAGGAGGCCGGGCAGAAAGCTGGGCTCTGCAGCCATGCTTGGCCCCCGGACCCCAGCCCTCCCACTTCCTGCCTGGGCCCAACTGACAGCAGCCACACAAGGCAGGGCCCCACAGCGGGATGGGGAGTGGGCAGAAGCCCAGATGGGGAGGGGGCAGAAGGGTGCCCCAATCCTTAGGAAGGAAGCTCCCTGGACTTGTTTTCCTTCCCTGTCCCGCGGCCACTGCCCTCCAGCCAGGGCCTGGCTTCTGGGGTCAGTGGAGAAAGTGGCCGCAACACGAGCACCACCGGAGCTTCCAGGGCCGGGGGTTCGATGCCAGGTGGGCTTGAGTGCAGCATGGGGTAGCCTCACCAGGGGCTCCCCGACAAGGACCCTGGCCAGACCCTGGCCTCGGCAGGCCCCACCCTAGCCAGCAGCCCTCACCGTGCTGGCTGGTTCTCAAAGGGAGCCCCCTGGAGCCCCCAACCAGGTAACACCTGGGCAGGGCAGAAGGATGGCTTGGGGAGGCCCCCCAGCCATATGGCGCCTCCCTGCCACCACCCACAGCCGACGCAAAGCCCTCCCTGCACCCTTCTCTGCGTTTGCTAATGTTTTGTGACATAAAGCCCCGAGATTAATTTTTTGCCTCTGCCTTAATTGAAGGAACCATTTAGTGCCGATTTAACTATTATTACCAAATCATCAGGATTGATGCAGTGCGCACACGCGCACGCCAATCGTGTTTGGAGGCGCTCAGAGGATTTATGCAAATGGGCCTGCCGGGAGAGGCAATTTGTAGTCGAGAAGGACAATTATACCAGGCCCGGGAGTGCGCCAACGACTCTGCCGGGCGGGTAATGGATAATAACATCGCGAAGCAGCCGTGAGCAGCACCGCAGCGTGACCAACGACTTTATACAGTGCAGATAAAGAGGCTTTTACGCAACGCTGCCTCACGCTCGAGGGGGCCATGGTCAGGTGTGTGGAGCTGGTGTGGCCGCCCTCTAGGCCCATGTGGCTTCTGGGAGGAAAGGAGCCCAGGGTGGGATGGAGGGCTGACAGTGGGCAGAGGGAACAGGACGTCTCTGCTGGGCTCTCTCTGCTGGGCACTCACCGTGGCCCAGAGTTCTGGGAGGAAGTGCTGGGTCTTTAGGAGGAGCTGTGCAGGGGGAGCAGCCCGGGGAGCCGGAAAGAAGCCCAGACCTTGCTGGCCTGACCTTGAGGGCATCCTGGGCTGGCCCCAGCCCCACCACGTGCCCGCTGGCCTGAGGCACCCCATACACCCAGGACTCACTTGACTTTCTTGCTGTCGCCCCTGGGGAGCTGGCCGCCGGCACGCAGGGTAGGCAGCAAGCTGGAGTATTTGCGCTTCCTCGGCCGGCCGGGTCCTCGCCTTGCCGGACTCCTCGAGCTCTCCTCTCTCCTGGGGGCCGCAGGAGGGGTGGTCTGAAGCTTACGCCCACCCTGGCTCCCTGACAAGGGTCTAGCAGAGGGCACTGCCCTTGGGGAGCTGCGGGGGGCAGGCTCTCCCAAGACTTGGCCTGAGAAGCCTGTACCAGCCTCTGCTAGGCGGTTCTCGCACCTGGACTGCCTCCCGCAACTTGGTTTCTCCGCTGGGCGAACGCCTCACCCTTCCACTGCCTTTATGGACCCTCCCAGACCCTAGCCTCTGGCCCAGCTCAGATGGCACACGGGGGACGCTCCCTGCCCATGAAGTAGCACCCTGGGCTAGGCTGCACAGTTCCCGCCCTTTGGCTCCAGCCCTCCCGCCATGCCCCTGGCGTACTCATGGTCATGCCTGCGTTGCAGGCGAGCCAGCTCCCGCTGCTTCTCCTTGTAGCGCCGCTGCAGCTCTGCCAGCTGCATGCGCATCTCCACCTCTTGCGTGTCCAGCTGGTCGATGGTGGCCTTCAGCGGGCATACCTGGTAGGCAGGGGCACGGGAGCCTGTGAGCCCGGTCAGGGCTTCACGATGGGGCAGGTGGGCAGCTAGCGTGGGTGCTCAAGCTTCCCCTGGGTCATGGCGCTGGGCTATGGGGGCGACCAGGGCCCCCCACTCACAGGCTTGGTCTTGGGGGTCCAGGTGTCCTTGCGCTGCAGGATCTGCATGCGGGGGGTGAGCATGGGAGCCCTGCAGGGGTCGGCAGCAAGGTGCTGGGCTGAGGAGGCCGGGCTGTCCAGGCCAGCAGCCTCCACCAGGGACCAGGCTGAGGCCAGCGTGGCCAGGCGCAGCAGGTTGAAGGCCAGGACATCCTCCTCCTCTGTGGGGGACATGAGGATCAGAGTGTGTGCAGGTGGTGGGGACACACTGTCCCTCAAAGAGGCTCTTGACGTCAGCCTGCATCTCAGCATGGCCAAGACCCCCAAGGCTGCCTGGCTCCCTGAGATGTCAGGACCAAGGGTGAGGGTGAGGCGGCCGAGAGCAGCAAGCTAGGCCCCGGGGCTGGCCTCCAGCACTCTGCCTCCTCTGCGTGGGGAGAAGTCTCCCTTGGCTACTGTGGGCCAGGCCAGCTGGGATGGCACATGCCCTCCAGACAGACCCTAAACCATGTAGTAAAGGCATGTGGCTGGTTATGCTTCTAACAGAAACTGCCCGTGTGTGTGTGCCCACTCCCAGCTTCATGAAAACCTGGAGCCTCACAGCCCTAGTGGGGTGGGGAGGGATGGCCCAGTGCGGGGTCAGAGGGCAGCAGAGGTAGCGTCCATTCAGGGGAGAGGCCTGGAGTGGAGACTAGGACCCAAATGCAATCATGGAGAGGGGGTGGCGGCAGAGATGGGGAGTTCGGTGCGCATGGGGCGGGCTGATCCCTTGAGGAGCTACAACCAGGCAGGGGAGCCAGCCAGGAGGAGCCCTGTGGGGTTAGACGGGGAGCCTGGAGATGGAAGTGTCAGTAGGCAGTCGTGGTTTCCAGAACATACAGCCAGCTCTGGCCTCTGAGAGGGGCTGGGAGCACGACACCCAAGTAGCCATGAGCACACCTAATACCCAGATCTTGGCTTCTAATACCACCCTCTGATAAAAAACTGGCTCCTCGGAGAAAGGGGTGATTCCAGGGGCAGGGAGGTGCGGGGTGAGCCCAGAACACAGGAAGTGCTCAGAGAATGACAGGGACACGTAGGCACACATGGGCCAGCTGAAGTGGCTCCATGGGGCAAATCTGAGACAATTTGGTTACCAAAATAAATGGTGACTGTGACAAATTATAAGTGATTGAAGAGAATAAGAATTCACGAGTCACACTAATACAGATAAATAAATGAATGAATCGAATATTTGAAGAGGAGTGGGTATGACATTGCTTCAAAGCACCTCCCCTACCAAGGCGGAAAGTGCCTGGCCGGCGCCAGCAGATGGAGCCATGAGGGTGAACCACCCTCTGTGATGGCACAAAGCAGCGGGGCGGACGCTGGAAGCTCAATCCTCTGGACAGTGGTTCTGGGCCAAGGCCACAGGAGACCCTCAGCCCAGAGATGGGCTGTTTGGTCAAAGGTGCTCTGGAAATGGGGGCTGAGGGGGGCTGAGGGGGGCTGAGGGGGGCTGAGGGGGGCTTTCTCTTCCCAGTGACCTGCGCTGCTCCTGCCACCAGCAGCCAGGGCAGGGCTATCTGCCAGCCCCATTTCAGCTAAACGTTCTGCAGGGTCTTCCCATCTCTTGGGGTCACTGTGAGCACTCAGTGACTCTCTCCTCCCCTCCCTCAGTCCTCCCCGAGCCCCCCCGCCACCAGGCAAAGCCTGTTGAGACTGTGCAAGTCCAGAGGGTGAGCCTGGGAGGAGGGTGGCTGCAGGGAGATGGCGGGGAGGGGGACTAGAGGGCAGGCCCTTCTCTGGGCTCCAAAGGACACTCTGCGTGGTTCTCTAGTCTGGGGGGCTGTGGGGAGAGAGAATAACAGCCCCACTCCCAAGCCTCGGAAGTCTCTAACTCCTATCCCCAGGGCTGGGGGGCAAGACGCAGGACCTTGCAGGGCAAGGCTGCTCAGGCAGGCAGTCGGCGTCGCAAACACAGATGACAGCCGAGGCTCAGGCTTCCTCCCCACAGCCTGGCCAGTGGGGGCTGATGGGGCAGGGAGAAGGCCAAGGGGTTGGCCCAGGGGGGTGAGGGGTGGGGGAAGGGTGGAGAAGGGCAGTTCAAAGCGGGGAGGTCTGGGGAGGGTGGGATCTCGGTTCAGCCCTTCACCTGGTTTTAGGCTCACTCAGGAAAGAAGGGGCATCCACGCCCGGGAGGGTGAGGGTCTGGGCTTCTCCAAATTCCAGGGTGGACGGGAGGCCAGTGGGCACTACACCCCTAGGCAGCTCCTCCAAGGGCAGAGTGGGGCCTTCTGGGTGCTCAGGGCCTGGACCCCGCACTTGGGCCTTACCATCCATGGCCGGACAGAAGTGTCCCACTACCCCCTGCCCCAGGGCTCAGCCTGGGGCCCGAGTCCCTGCGTCTGGGATGGGGGTCCGGGGCAGGGCAGCCCGCCCACCAAGCTCCCTGGCCTTGAGCCCAGGTAGGGGCAAGCCAAGGGTCCCTCGGCAGAGGCCTGCCCAGGGCGGGGGTTGGGGCTGTGAGGGGCTCTGGGTGCCCAGGTCAGTGAGGGTGGGATGGACCCCAGCCCAGTAGCAAAGAGCCTGGGCCTCTAATCCCAGCTCCACCATGGCCCAGCCACAGAGCCGAGGGCCACATCGCCTCTCTGAACCCGCTTACCTCCTCACCCCACCTCCCAGGGGCCCCCACCCAGCCTTTCACCAAATGCTCTGTCCAGCCTGGGAGAGTACGGGGTGGGGGGTTCCCCTCTGGGGAGGCGGGGACAGGAAACACTGCTATCCCTCTGGGATCTTTAAGCCTCCCTCTCTGCTCTTCTCACTCAGCCCCTGATCTGAGTTCTCCTACTTTCTCCCTCTCTGAGTCCTGCTGTTTGCTCACTTGGAGGAGAACGGAGCCGATCTAATTAACTTCAGGCAAAGCAATCACTGTACTTGTAGGGAATAGCTCTGGAACTGAGAGGCTGTGCAGACCAGCCAATTAATTGGGACAGAGGGAGGGTGGGGCCTGGGGGTGACAGGACAGGTGGGTGGGGGCCTGAGGACTCTAGGAGGGGAGCATGGGGTGGAGACCTGGCCGTGGCCGCTCGCTTGGTCCACACACCCTAGTGACGGCAGCGCCTGGCGGGACCGACAGTTGCAACACCCACAGCGGGACACACGCGGTCTCCACGTGAGCATTCATTCAGTGCATGGGCGCTGGTCCAGCAGACATTCACACGCACAGACCGGGTGGCCACACACACACGGCACCCGGCATCCGCTCAGAGCAGCCTCATGCCAGACACACTCGCACGGGGGTCCCGGCAGCTCGGGCCCTGCCCGGGGAACCCCCGCCTCACCCTATAGCCCCAATCCCCGAACGAGGCCCTCCTGGGGCTCCCCAGCTTACTCCCCTCAGCACAGTGGGGGGCCCTGTGCAGGCAGACAGGAGAGGAGCGACACAGAGGCCTTCGGGGAAATTAACTTTATAAGAACCTTCACTTTATCTCCACGTGGCACAGAAGGCGCCAGTGGCTGGCAGTGGGCAGCAGAGAGCTTCATGTGTTGGGAGAGGAAGCGGGAAAGTGTGAGGACTTTGTTGGGTTCTTTCTATAAACATCAATGGAACACAATGCCCAGTGAGGGGTGCTCCCCCAGGGAGGGGGCTCTCTCTGGGACAGAGAGGAGGAGCTTCTCCTAGGGGACGCCTGGGCAGCAGGGAGGGCCCATGTGGGGTCCCTGTGGGGCACAGCGGAGGGCTGGAGTGCCCTAAGCAGAGACCTGACCCTTGGGCTCAGGTCCGCATCTCACTGAGAGGCGATACCAGCCCTTTGCCTGTACCCCAGGGCCCTTGGGAGTGTGGGGAGCCCAGGAGCATCTCATCCAGGACATCAGCCCAGGGCAGAAACTGCTGCCGCCCCTGCCCCCAGGCCCTAGCCCCCAGCCCTGGTGAGGCCACGAGGGAGGCAGGAGAGCTGAGGCCTGGGGACCCACCTGAGCAGTCTCGTGCCACCTCCCCTGGGCCTGGGAGGCAAAGGCCAATGTGTCCTGAGCAGGACCCTGCACAGGCCCAGGGCTGGGAGCCTTGTAGCCCGAGGTGGAAAGTCAGGGTTGGAAGCCTGCAGAGGAGGGTGCGATCTTTCCTCCCCCTTCCCTGGCTCAGGTCAGAGGCCTCGACCCCCCCACCCTACCCCATGTGGGTCTGGGCATCCTCAGGTGTGAAATGTGAGCCCCTCAGGGCGTCATGAACACTGCAGTGCAGGGAGGTGCTGCCTAGGGGCCCTTTTCTGACACCAACGTCTGGGTACAGTCCTGGCCCCCAGGGGACCAGTCTGCAGCCAGGGCTGGGGTGACACGGTGTGGGCACACAGCCTCCAGGTTCCTGATGAGAGGCTGGTGGGTGGAGGGGCAACTGCGAGTCCATGCTGCAGAGACAGCTGAACAGGACCGAAGGCCACTGTTTGGCCTGCTGACCCTGAGCCCATGCCTGAGGGTCCATCTCCTGGGGCCCCAGAGGGATGGGGGTGCTGGCGGCTCACCTGGCAAGGCTGGCTCACTCCTCCGCTGCTGGATCTCGAGGTCAGCCAGCTCGCTGAGCAGGGCGATTCCATGAATCCCTGAGCTATGGGGCAGGGGAGCTGTGCTGGGCGGCCCAGGGATAGTGGGGGGCAGAGGATCCAGTGGGCTGACACTGGGCAGGTCCCCCAGGTTAATGGTGGCAGCCACCAGGGCGTCCAGGCCTGGCCGCGTCCTGGGCAAGTGACTGCTGTGGGAAGTCGACCCCCCATCCTCCTCCTCCTCCTCCAGCTCGTCCTCCTGGAACTCGGCCTCCTCCTCTGGCTCTGCCTCACCAGGGGCCTGCCCCTCGCCTGGCTCCAGGGTGCCTGGGCTCCCCACCTGCTGCACCAGGGCCTGGGGGCCAGCCCCCGACAAGGGCCTTTGCTTCCCCTCCGCTCTCCCCTCCTCCATGGTCCTCTCCTCTTGGGCCCCTCCCTGAGTAGAATTAGCCAGGCCAGTGGCCTCAGGGACCCCTCCCTCGAGGAGGAACCCGAATTGCAGTTCTCGCAGCCCTTCCAGTGGGCTGGGGTCTGCTGCCTTCCCCGGGGATTCCTGCTCTGCAGGGTAGGGGGTGGCGGCAAGGTCCTGGGTGGCCTCCCTGGCCCCTGAGGGCAGCCCAGGCTCCTCTAGGCTCAGGGGGCTGCGGCGGGGTGGCTCCCCAGGCGGGAACGTCCTTGCTGGCTCAGGCCGGGCCCCGGGGGAGGCGGTTTGCATAGTTTCAGGGTCCGAGAGGTCAGATGAGTGCATGTTGGGGGGCAGAGAAAAGCCCGAGCCGGCCGCAGGGCATGTGTATCCGGGAGGCAGGTCTGTAAAAGAGGGGCATTATCAGGAGAGAGCAGCTGGGGGGAAGGGTGGCCCCGTTACAGATGGGGAGAGGGCGGCCTCAAACCCCTCAGACCCACACCTGGGAGGGAGGGTCCCCAGCTGGCCCTCTGCTTACAGAACATGTGAGGCAGGAACGGTGACACATTATGTGGAGGGGGAGCCAGGCCTCCCAGGCCCCCAGGCTAGCCCAGGACCCCCTCTCTGGCCAAGACAGCTGAGGCCCCTGGCGCTGCCGCAGCCTCGGGAGCACAGGGGCCCCTGGGGGCCATCTCTGGCGTGGTGTGGTGTGGCTCATAAGAAAAGGGGGGTGTTTTAAAACCAGATACTTGAATCAGGGCTTTCCCTGAACCAGAACAAGCGACAGCCTGTCAGAGGCATTACGCCCCATTAACTGCAATTAAAGAAAACACAAAAACTAAGGGGAAAAAAAAAGCCTAAAAAAAAAACACCACCTCTCTTGGCTCAGTCTCCTTATTGTGGAACTGGGACGGGTTTTATGTTTGCCACACGGGTTTCCAGTGTAAACTCTCAGCCTAATTCAGAGAGAATCAAGTAGCTGAGGGGGAGCTGGCAGGCGGTGGCAGGCGGGCTGCAGAGGCCAATGCTCTGCCAGGCCCCTCTGCCGCAGGCTGCCTCTCTCGCTTCAGGCCCAAATGGGTGGCATCTCTGGCCCCGACGGCAGAGGATGAGCTCCCACGCCCAGCTTCTCAGCTGGAGACAGGTCTTGCGACTGCTGCCACGTGGTCCTGCCCCCGTCCACAGCAGGCCAGTACCACACCATTCACAGGGCCCAGTGCCGCCTCGTTTTGCCCCGTCTGCCAGGGACTGGGAAGAAGATGGCAGTAACCCTGCGTGCTTCCCCCCTGGGTCACCCAGAAGGATTGTGGAGAAGGAAGAAGAGAAGGAGCAGGGGACAGTCAACTTTGTCCTGGGCCCTACCAGGAGGCCTGGGTAGATGAGGGCAACCCTCAGCTCTGGTGATTTAGCTCTGCCCACCCAGGAGCAGGGAAAGGCCTCAGAGCGGAGGGGGCCGGCTGAGGCCAGCCCAGTGCAGCCCACTCTCACCTGGTTCCAACGTGCTGAGGTCAGCTCTGGGCCGCCGGGCCTCCCCACTTGTGTCCTCGGCACTGGATAGCTTGGAGCCAGGCCCGGGGCTGCCGGTGGGGCAGAGGGATAAAGTGCACGGGGCGCTGGGACGTGGTGGCGGTGCAGGGCAGCTGGCAGGGGGCTTCAGGGTGGGCGAGTGGCAGCAAGGTGGCAGCTTGGCAGGGCCTGTGGTGGCGGGTGAGGGGGTGCCCTTGGCCGTGGGGGTTAAGGCAACTGGTTTATGGGTGGACTTCAGGGCCTTCTCCTGGGTGGGCTCCTCCAGCTCCACATGGTGGTCCTCGGGCTTCCGCTGTTGGGGTTAGGGAGAGGCTCAGCCCGCTCGGCCCCCCTGCTCAAGGCACCACAGTGCGGGGGTGGGGAGGTGCAGTGGGGACTCCTGGGCCAGGCCAGGCTGGAGCAGACAGGGAGCAGGCGGTGCCCTGGGTCCCAGATGGGTGTGGCCGTGGGGGCAGGTACCTGGAACTGGGTGGCCCGCTGTAGCTCCAGGGCCTGGGCAGCCCGCTGTTGCTGCTGTTGCTGCTGCTGCTGCAGGGCGTAGAGCTCCTGCTGTCGCAGGAACTGGGACCGTGAGTAGACGGGGAGCTGGCCTGGGTGCTGCATGTGGGAGGCGGGGCCCCGGCCCCCATACATGGGGGGCCATAGCGAGGCCTGGTCCATGACATCAGCTGTGGGCAGGCCCAGAGGAGACATCAGCCCCAGCTGGGACGGGCACCGGGCTGCACCCCCAACCACCTCAGCTGGCCCCTTCCCCACCCCTCACTGCCAGCTCATCCACTTCACCCCCACCTCCCGCTCCCAGGCCAGCATGGGCTGCTCCCCTCCTCAGACATGCTTCCCACACCCCCACATGCAAATAGCCTGGCCAGAAAGGCCCTTACCAAGCGCATGGGGCGTGGGGTGGGGCGTGGGCTCTGAGGGCAGGATGACTAGCTGTGCGGGGGTGTCCTGGGAGAGGGGGAAGACGGAGGGCATGGAGCCGGGCACAGAGGCAGGGAAGCCGGGGGGCAGGTTCTGGTGCAGGGCAGGGTGCCCAAGGCCTGGAGAGACAGAGCCCAGTGGTCAGGCAGTGCAGGGCAGGGAGCAGGGACTACAGGCTGGCTGGGGCCCATGCCACCCTCAGGCCTCCCACAGCAGGCTGGCTGGCCCCAGGCCAGCCCTGACCACCAAGCCTGGCCCCGACACTTGCCCTGCCCCTTGCTCACCGGCTGCCCCCCACCTGCCCTCAGAGCACTGACCATAGGAATGTCCTCCCATCCACAAGGAGGGGCTGCGGGTGCGGGGCAGCCAGGAGGGGTGGGCAGGGTGGGGGTGGGGGGCTGGGTCCCCGCCCAGCTGGCTGCTCTGCAGGGAAGAGCCGCTGGCGATCATGAGGTGAGGGGCCAGGTCTCCGGGGCAGCTGCCTGACGGGTGGATCCGGGAGAATTCCACGAGGTCCTTGTTGTCCCTGTACACATAGGGACCACGGGGGACGCGGGGGGCGCTCAGCACCATTGCTAGGCCACCCGCCTGGCTCCTCACCCCACCCTGTGGCCATCAATCTTGGAGACGGGTGGCTTAGAGGATTAGGAAAGACCCCAGGCTCACTCAGGTGGGTCTCAGCATCAGAGGCCTCCGTCCCAGCACTGGCCCCATCAATGGAAGGGGAGGTAGCAGAGCTCCCCTCAAGATGGGCAGACACCCCAGAAAGCCCCCGGGGTGGATGCACAGCCCTGCCTGCAACAGGCCACAAAATCTGACATCCTGGCTACTTTATCCCATGCAGACTCGAGTGGGCGAGCCTGGAGGTGTGGCCTGGCCCCACCCCAAAGGCCAAAGCCCTGGTTCTTACTGCAGCAGCAGCTCACGGCCGGAGAGCCCCAGGCGGTCCTCACACAGGCGCGTCCTTTCCTCCTCAGCCTCCAGGTCCAGCGCGTGGGTGGAGCGGGGCCCACCGCCAGCTGCATGGGTCGGAGATGGCAGAAGGGATGAGGGTAGGGGTGGCAGGAAGCCAGAGGCACCCAGGGTGAGTCTCCTGCCCTGCGGGCCTCAGGGGTCTGCAAGGGCAGGTGAGGGGAGCCAGCAGGCTCACGGGGCGAGGGCAGGCTGGTCCACCCTGGGAGGTACAGGACTGCAGACATGGGGAGGGGACGGGTGGGAGCACCCAGGGCCCCTCCTGGGGAACTCAGGAGGGTGGACAAGCATCCCGTCTCCCTCCTGGTGGAGGGGCCTACCTTTGAAGGTGGGGGCTGCCCGGCCCTGCCGCCCAGCGCTGGCACCATAGGCCGTCTCAGGTCGGCTCACCGTGTCCTTCTGCCGGGCCAAGGCCACTGCGATGCCCACAGGTGGCTGCCGCACCTCTCCATCGCTGTGTGGGGCATCGTGTTCCCGGCTCCGGGCACAGTTGGGCCTCTCTACCTCACCAGGGGCCTGGCATGGGCCCTTGGAGGCTGGGAACTTCACGTCCTGCTGGGCGCAGCTGGCCTTGAGGCCACCCAGGCCCACAAAGGGTGCCTTCTGACTGACAACCAGCGCTTGGTTGCTGTACTTGAGCAGGTTTTGCATGGCTGAGACTTCGTCGGGTGGGGTGGGCAGGTCCTGGGACAGGAGAGCCGCCTGCTGCAGGCTGCCGCCGAAGGGGTCCAGGTAGGCGCTGCCCTTGCGCTCCTCACCAATGGCCATGGTGGCTCCCTGGCCTGACTGGACGCTCCACGGGGGTAGGTGGGGCCCACTGTAACCCAGAGATGCCAGCTCCAGGGACTTGCGCTTGGCCTCGGCCCCATTGCCCCCTGGCTCCACCTCAGGGGCCACCAAGTGCTGCTGATGCCGGATCCGGGCCACCTTCTGGGCCCCAGGGGGACCCGCGGGGGCCTCCTTGCTGGCAGTCTTGTCTAAAGTGCAGCAGGCCTGGGTGACCTTCCCACCCAACGGGTCCTGGTGACCTGGCCGGGCACAGTCCTGCAAGGGGGTGGGCAACTCGAAGTAGCCACTTTTGTCCAGACTGCCTTTGGGGAGCCCGGGGAAGGGGGCCTCAGGGCCCACACTGTTGAGGTACTCCAGGCCCTTGAGCCGGGGGTTGAGGGCCGCCTCGAAGACCCCAGGCCGCCGCTCACCCTTGCCCTCGGCCTTCAGCTGGGCATAGGACACCCCGTAGGGTGCAGCACGGTCAGGGGCCATGGCCCCATCCAGGTGCCGATCTTTGCCCTCACCTGCCACAGCACAGGCCTCGGCCGCCTGGAAGGGGCGGCTTTTGTCGGCCAAGTGTCCCACTGAAGGCACGAAGGTGGGCCCGCTGGCCTTTAGGTCCCGGGGGACTTTGTCTTGCAGTGGACAGAGCCCGTCCGTGCTGCCATGCAGCTGCAGGCAGGGGAAGGAGCCCGTGGCTGTGCTGAGGGGCGGGGGTGGCCCAGCAGGCAGGCCAGACGGCACTGTGTAGGACACAGTGTGGTGCAGCATTTGCCGCCGCTCCAGGCACTCGCTGAAGGCAGGCCCAGGCTCCGAGGGGCCCGCTGCCTCCTTGGTGCAGCGTCCAGAGGCCGCCACACCCATGCCGGGCCGTGCCAGCATACCCCCTGCACAGCTGGCCAGGGCAGCCTTGCCCATGTCTCCATTGAGCACCTTGGTGTTGAGCAGGCAGGAGGCCAGGTGCTTTGGGCGGCCCTCACAGGTGCCCCGGGGTGCGGCGCCACCTTCCTTGCAGTGCCCATCTGCCGGCACGGGCAGCACCAGCTTCTGGCGCTCCTTGCCACCGTCCTCCTCCGCTGCCGGCCGCTCCTTGCCCTCTGCCGCCTTGCCAGCCTTCTCTCTGCCCAGCTCTTTGCCCATGAGGAAGCGGTCGCACTCTTTGGTGCCCTTCTGCAGGAGGCCAGCCTCACCCCGGTCGCGGCTGCAGGAGCCAATGGGGTGGCCAGGGGCGGCCCGGGCCACGCTGGGGAAGTTGTGGTTGGCAGGCAGAAGAGTGGGCTGGGGGGGCAGGTTGCGCAGGTAGAAGTTATCTGCGTGCCGAGAGAACCAAGGTCAACAGGCTGCTGGGGCGGGGGTTGGACAAAGACCCCCCCCCCAGGACACAGGCTCCACGTGGCTCCCGACTGCTGGCTGGCACTGACTCAAGGTTACTGCCTGAGGAAGGTTTAAAACTGTAAACTGTACATAACATATAACTTACCACTTTAACCATTTTTAAGTGTGAAGTTCAGTGGAATTAAGTACATTCACATTGTTGTGCAACCAACACCACCATCCATCTCCAGAACTTTTTCATTGTCCCAACTGAAGCTCTGTCCCCATTAAACACTAACTCCCCACCCCCGGGAAGGTTTTGACTTATGTTCAGCCCCCCAGGAGATGGGAGCTACAAACGGCCCGGCCCCCTGCCCACCAGTGCCCCCTTAGGGGGTTAGCGGAAGGAGGGTGGGACTGGGCGGCAGCGTGCGCTGACAAAGCAGAATAGTGAGGTCTGGGGCAACAGGCACCTCCCCTCACCGCACAGGATGCTGGGTGCATAAACTGTTGGGTTTTTACAAATAGCCATCAGAACCTCCAAAGCTTAAGGAGGGTGCTGGGTCATCGCCAGTGAGGCTGGCACGTGGCGTGTGGTGTGATGTGGCCACTGCACAGCGTGCTGTGCCAGGATGCCCAGCCACATGGAGAGTCGTCTGAGAGAGCCTACTGACAGTGGGCCCATGCGCTGTGGAAGGCTAAGTTCCTGGCTCTCTCTGGCCCCCGGTAAGTGCTCAGACCCCCAGGAGGAAGAGAGGCCCAGGGGAGGTGCGTGTCTGAGGATAGGCTGGGTGTGAAGGCCCTCGCCCACCTATCTCCTGAATCCCCTGGCAGGCCCCCAGCCCCTCTGCATTGTAGCTATGGCTATATCTCAGGCTGGGAGGCTAGGGGAACCCTTTAAAAAAGGGAAAAAGGAAAATGGTCCCAGTTGGCTGTCCCCACCTCTAGCCCACGATTGGCTTTCAATGCCCGTGCAGCTCTGAGCCCACCCTGCCTGGGAGGGTGTGGGTATGCCCTTGGTTCCCTATGCTGATCTGTGGCCTGGGAGAAACCCTTCTTGCCTGGGTAGAACCAGCCCTGGGGACACCCACTGCTCTCCAAGCTGGGGCCGGTTACTGTCTCTGGGGACGTTGGGGGACGCCTCTTCCACACCCAGCTGGGGTGGCAGACAGGAGACAGCAGACAAGGGGGAACAAAAGAAACATTTGGAACTTGTAAAACTGTCCTCAAGTTGCGTAAATTCCTTGTCAATTTCCTGCTAATTTAAACAAGGGGAAGAGGGTCGCCTGGATGAAACCTAATTAGCTCTTTTTCCAGAACCCAAGTGCTCTTGGATGAAGCTCCACCACAACACTCTGAAAGCTGAGAGGCCGCCAGCGCTCCAAGGGGGTCCTGGCTCAGGTTCACTGGGTCAGGTTTCTGGGGCTGAGACCACCTGCCTGCCCCTGATAAACATTGTCAAAGCAGCTGCACACACCCAGGCTGACGTGGGAGTCTGGGGGACCCAGCCCATGGTCTGTGGGGGGCTGTCCTCAGGGCAGCAGAGCACCTGGTCTCCAACCCTGAGGAGACTGGGATTTCCTGGGTGTCTGTCCATCCTCTGGGTGGGGGTGGGGAGCTTCTTGGCCCTGCCCGCAGGCAGAGTCTTGTCTGCACCATGACCAGCGGGCCAGCCCCAGGCCAGGCCAAGGTCTCAGCTGCCCCACCAGGCCCAAAGGTGCGGGATGGGCTCCAGGACACGGATATACCAAGGTCCTGGAGTGGGAGGCCAACAGAGAGAAGGGGGTTGCAGGAGGGCCGGGGCGGCGGGGCAGGAGGGCTGACCACAGGCTCACTTCGCTGGGCTCCCCTTCCTTCCCTGAGACTCCTTCAGGACACTCTCCAGTTTAACTGCTACCTCCTGAAGCCCTGCCAGGTGTCCTGTTGACCTCCCAGGCCCCGCAGGGTGCTTTATGGGCCCCTCCTCTGCCTCCACTCAGAGCCCTGGCCTTGGGGCTCCCCAGGATCCTCTCTTGATCCACCCTCCTCACTTGGGACAGCCCCTCTCCTTGAGCCAGATCAATCTCCCCAACCCACCCCTCTGGCACTGACCCCCCACCACCCCTCTGGCACTGTCCAGCAACTGTCTGGATACCCCTGGAAAGGCCCCTCAGCCCCTCTGCATAGAAGCTAAACTCACTCCTTCCCTCTGAACTGCTCCCCACTAGGTGTACCCCCACCCACAGCCTGGGCCATGAATCAGGGGTCACTTAGGACCCCCTGTCCCTCATGCTCCTTCCAGGGCCCCCATGGGACCCCACGCTGCAGTTCAAGTCCATATCATTTGTCATCTGAAACATGGTAACTAACCCAACGGTCTCCCTGCCCCAGCTTCCTAGCCACCACCCAGGGAAATCTTCCTAAAATACAAATGAGATGTCACCCCACCCAGGAAAAATCCTGGAGACGGGCACCAAGGCCTCCAGCCACTCCCCACACCTGTCCCATCTCCAGGTGGCTGCAGTTCCTTCAGGTTCCTTGATGCATGTGTCTGTGTGTGTGTGCGTGTGTCTGCATGTGTGTGCGTGTGTGTGTGGTATGCGTGTGTGTGTGTGCGTGCGTGTGCTCTCTCCCCAGGGAATGCCCTCCCCACCACCCCACCAGCCCTACCTCATCAGCAAAACCCCAACCTCAGCGTCCCTCCTCCTGCCAACAGGTGGGAGCCCCTCCTCTGTCCACTGGGCGCATCGTGGCCCCACCTCCCTGCGGCCTCTGTCTGACCTCAGGCTCTGCGGTGGGGTGGGGGCCTGGGCCTCCTGCCATCCAGTGAGGCAGGAAATGCAGGCTTCTGGGGGCCTCTTCTGCCCCCACCTGATGACATCCTCCCCTGAGCTGCCCCTGGGACCCCTTAGCTGCCGGGGCAGGGCGGTGGGCGGGCAGGGCTGGGCCAGGTGCTAAGGGAGCTGGGTGCCACTCCTTTGGGGCCGTGCTTATTTGAGATGCTTCCACCGGAGCCATGAGAGCTCCAGACAGCATGGTTCTGTCTTCAGAGTGCTCAAAACCTGCAGCTTGGCCATGGTCCTGGGACCTGGAGTTTAAATCCTCCAGGGGCCTCAGGCCCACTCTCCTCCTGCCCCTACCCCACCATGGCCTGAGACCCAGAGGGGAGGGTTCACCCAGACTGGCTGCCTTTACCTGGCACTCCAGAAGCCCCCAGCCCCACCCCTTCCCCTCCAGGATGCCCTGCACCCCAGGCCCCTCGTGGCCTGACGCTAGCACTTGCCTTTTTGGGTTCCATAGAAACGATGTTGCCCATAGAGAACGTTGCTGTTTCCATGGTGATCCAAGTGGCTCATGGGTAGGAAGGTGGATGCCAGACTCCCCGAAAATCTGGGGTACCCTGGAGCTAGGGAAGCAATGAGACTGGCTACAGAGGCACCTCCAGGCCCCCCAGCCCACACCCGCCCTGACCCCAGGGACGTGAGAAGCCCGCAGGTGGCCCAGGAGTGGTGCCCCGCAGAGCGCAGCGCGCAGGCTGCCGGTGGGAAATCAACCCATCAATACATCATATTAACTCTGACTCGACTAATACCATCCCTCTGGTGCGGCACAAATTGAATTGCTGATGGGCTGGGGAGAGGGGAGGAGGGAGGATGGTGCCTTTGATGTCTCTCCCAGCGGCACTTAGCAGCACGGGAGTTCCGAGGCAGGGCAACAAAACGGGTTCTGGAGAGGCGTCTCAGAGGGGGGAGACGTGTGGATGGAGGCTCCCAGCTAGGAGAGCCAGGGCCAGTGGCCGCCCCGGCCCGTGCCATCCAACAGGATGAGCTGAGGCTGGCGCGGTCCGGGTGTGGCAGGCTTCTACCTTCCTGGAGGCAGCAGGTGCTGGGCCTCTTCTGAGCTCTGAGATCTGCAAAGGGAGCTGGTTCCCAGCAGTGGCAGCATCGCCCCCAGAAGAGTTCCCTGCGTTGGTTCCCAGCCCTGAGACCCTCCCTGGGGCCTCCCAGTCATGCCAGGCAGGCCCCTCTCTGTCCCTCTGAGGGGCCTAGACTATCTCCTGGTCTGGCCCTGCCCAGCGTAGGGATGCCAGCCACACCCTGGAGCTGGCCCCACTTGTCGGCCTTGGACCTTGGGGGGCTCTGGCCACCTAGACTTACACCCTGCCCCCAAGAAGAGATGAGGAAAGACAGAACTAATCATCAGCCCCAGGGGCCCATCCAGGCACCTGCACCCTGGCCAGGCCCAGCGGGGAGGAGGCGTGTCTGCTCGATGTCCAGAGCCTCCAGCCACCTAGAATGTGGCTCCTCACAACTGGCTGTTCCCCACCAGGCCCAGCAGGGAGGGGTCAGAGTGGGCAGAGGGCCCACAGCTGGGGAGGCCTAGTCACCCGCTGGGCTGGGGTGACCAGGACGCTGTCTTACTCCAAAACTTACACCTTCAGCTAATGCTCTGAACGTTTTCCCTGTGGAAAACAGGCCCCAAGAGTTTCTCTTGGGGACCCCATGATTGTCCCAAGAGCTACCGTGGCTACCAGGAGTGGCTTTCCATCTGACTTCTAGGCTCCCTTGGCTGTGACAAGAGAGCAGGAATCCCAGGGTTTCCCCAAGGAGCAGTGGCCATGGGGACAGGGAGAGGGAGGAGTTTGTGCAGGGCCCTGCGGGCATCAGTCCCTGGGAGGGGAGGGCAGCCTGTGTACCAGGGAGAGGGTCTGAGCGCCCATCACAGCTGTGCCTTGATAAAAGGGAGCCGTGAGCCACAGCCTGGGGAAGAGGGGCGCCAGCACCCCTCTTAGTGCATCACAACGAAGTCACTGACAAGTCCTGAAGCAGAGAGCTATGTTCATCTTGTTCATTAACTGTTTCCCAAACTCCTTTATGCCAGAACCCCTTTGCTGTTTCAGTGGCCAAGCACGCCAAGGAACACACTCAGAAACACCTTTCCAGAAGGGGCAGGCTCAGAAATACAGGACAGACCTCCAGGCCCCCACATCCTCAGAGGGCCTGGGGCAATTGCCTGTGGCCTGAGGCTGGCCTGCTGGGATGCTGAAGCTATTGAGACGGAGGGTGGAGGCCAGTGTGGCCTGGACTCTATCTTGGTGCCAGGGGGCGGCTGTGGGTGCAAGGGGGGGCAGCTGGGGAGCCCATTGTGAGCATCCCAAGAGGTGCCTCGGCAGGCTTGAGGCCGCGGGAGAGAGGGGCCAGTGTGGGTCGGGCTGTGGAACCCAGCCCAGAGGCAAAGATGGACAAGGAGCCACAGGGCCAGAGCTCAGAGTGAGAAATGGTCAGGCATCAAATGTGGCTACTCCAGGATCTCCCAGGAACAGTCCAAACGGGGTGCCCTGCACCCCAGTCCCAGCAGGCCCCTCAGCAGTGACAGGCCACTATTCAGACCCTAATGATGTAGTTTGATGTCCTCTGGCCAGCGGGTCCGAGGTGAAGCTGTGGAACACTATCCCCAAGAGGTGCCCCATGCAGAATGCATCCCAGACCCCACAAGCTCGAGTAAGGCTACCCACACCAGCCCCATCTGGAGGCTTACGACGAGCACACGCATCATGAAGGCTCTGAGGAGTCTCTAGATGTCTCTCTGCTCAGGGATCACAGCCCCAGGCCTGTCTGAGGACGCGGGCAAGGTGCCCACTGCCGCCCTAGCCTGTCCCCCCTTAGCCCCCCTCTTACCGAGGGCAGGGGCTGAGTCCGGAAAGCCTGGCCAACTGGCCTGGTTTGTGTGTGGAGACACATCTGGGGCAGCTGTTTCCTAGATTAAATGCAGCTCCTGGAAGACTTGACAAAGCTGAGAGCCGGGCAGGGTGGGGGCGGCTGGGGCAGAGGGGGGACAGAGGCCCATGTGTGCTGTACGGGGGAGGGCTAAACCCCACAGCTGTCCCCCTTTAATTGGCTGCTGTTAAATGTTTTACGGGGCCTCATTTTGGTAAACAGAAGTCTATAAATTCCTCCTTCCCAGACTCCGTTTCCCAGGCGGACCCCCTGTGACCCCTGGGAGGTCCAGGCCTCCCTCCCACCCACCCTCTGCGGGGAGCAGGCGTTCAGCCAGCTGAGTGGTGGGCTCCTTCCTGTCCAGTGCCCTTTGGGGGCAGTGTGAGGGCGATAGGTCCCTCCACTTCTGAGCCCCAGCTGGTGGCTGTCCACGGAGTGGGGGCAGAAATCTACCAGGGGCCCCAGGTCCCTGCCTCCAGCCCGCCTTCAGCCTGCCCGAGGCTCCACCCTCTGAGACCCCAGAAGGGGAACTAGGGCTGGGGGACGAAGGTGGGGGCAGATGGGGGAGAGGGAAGAAGAAACGGAGGGGGTGTGGGCCAGCAGGCTGGGTGGGGAAGCTGGGCGAGTGTGGGGAAAGAGGCCCAGACGGGTGGGGATGGGGGCGCAGAAAGAGGAAGGGGACCAGTCCTCCCAGCCCAGCCACAGAAAGGCCCCTTTCTTTGCCTCCATAGATAGGATCATACTCTCTGAATTGAAAAAGAAAATAAAAAATGATTTTATGAATCAGAGCAGCTGTTCTGAAACCAGAAGCCAGAAGCCAGAAGCGAGGGCTGCGCTAGCTCGGGCAACACTGGGTCCTTGAAGGAGCTGCAGCAGAGAAGAGTGGGGGGGGCATTTCGGGGGAGGGCTCGGGGAGCAGGGAGGGCACAGGGCGGCGGGCATAGGACACAAGAGCAGGGCCGGCTACAGACACACTGAGGTGGCTGGGCGGCAGGGCGGGGGCTGGACACTGTGGAACCCAGGGCCAGAGTTTCTCAACCCCGCACTCCTGCAGGGGATGGCGTGGTCTAGGATCTCCCCTCCCACACCCTCACACCCCTTGGGGTCAGGGCTACTGTGCTCACCCTAATGGACAAGTGGCAAACCTGTCTAAAGCAACTGCCCACGGTGAGGGGCCAAGCCCCAGACCTGCTGTTCCTGGGTCCCACTGCCCTTGGAGCCCCGGGGAGGGGCCCTGGGCCTTGGCAGAGTCTTACTGAGGATGCCCCCCACCCTGCCCCCACTGCTTTGAGCTGCCAGGAGACCCAACCGAATCCCATGACATAACTGACAATGGGGGACAGAGGGTCCACGCCATCAGCACCCGATGGGGTGCAATGAAATGGAAGCCGTCGTGGGCTGGGCAGGGGCAGTGTATACCAAGTCCCCCGGCTGCCTCGAGGCAAAGTGACCACACCCCAGCCCCTGCTGGCATCCCCTGGGCCTTTGCTTGCCACATCCAGGAAGGTCAGGGGTGCTGGTGGGAAGTGTGCAGTGTGGGCAGGAAGAGAGGGGTCAGCAGGCAGCCCACCACGGCGGGGAACACCTAGAGGGCAGGGTCTGAAAGACAGAGAGAGTGGGAAAACGGGCAGGGGCACTTTATAGGGGAAATGGGTGAAGGGGTGGGGGGCCATGGGGTGGGGGTCTCCTCCTGCCCCCCCCCCCAAGAAGGGGTGGGTGCCCAGGAGGACCCAAGGCCTGCCGCAAACCTCTTAGCCGGAGAGGAAGGAGGGTGGCTCCGGCCCTCCTCTCTCAGCAGGGTCATCTCAGCCCCACCCCGCCCTGTCCAGCACCTTACCTCTCCTGGGTTTCGTTGCAGCACCTTCCCAGCAGCCCAAGGTGCCCGAGACGCCACCTGCCCCAAGCCAAACCCAGAACTTCCCCTCTCACCAAGCTGGGGAGGCGGCGACAGCACCCCTTCCAGGGACCAGCCTCCAGAGGGAAGACTGGGGCTGCTCTTGGGTCTCTCGGGAGGCTGGACACTAGAAGTACTCTTGCCAGGCCTGGGAGGGGTGTGGTCAGCCAACCAGAGAACTAGGATTCCCTAGGAGTCAGGAAACTCCCCACTGCAGGGGCACCAGGGAACCCCCCACCCCCAGGCCCACAGAGCTCAGCACAGACACAGCAGGTTTAGGAAACTCTTCTAGCGGCGTGATGCACAGGGCTCTAACCACCCCCAGGGTCCTGCCCCAGCTCCCTGCCTGCTGCCCCCACACCCACAAGGGCAAGGTCTTCGGCAATGGATGCCCCTGCCCCCTGCGCCACCTTGACAGACAGCCAGTGTCACCTCCCTGGAGGGTGACACCCACACTGATCCTGAGGCTCAAATTGCTAGAAAGTTCTCCCCACCGTCAAGCCTCAAGCTGCGGCTGGGGGCTGCCAGCAGGGTCCCGGCATCAGGTTCTGAGGGCAGCTCCCTGCAACATAACCTGGCTGAGTCTCCTGACCACTGGGGCAGGGATCCGCACCTCTACAGCCACACCGGCAGGCTCTGAGGAGCCTGTGTCGGAAACTTCTGACCAGTCAGCGGCCCCACCTCCTCTGGGTCAGGCCATCCTCCAGGGCTCAGCAGCGGGGAAAGCCCCTCTAGATGGAGCCCCAGCAGACCTCCCTAACCCCTGCCCTTCTCCTGCCAGCCCTAATGAATCCC